TCCAGGGAAGGGGAACATGGGAAGGAGCTGCAGGAGTCCAGGGAAGGGGAACATGGGAAGGAGCTGCAGGAGTCCAGGGAAGGGGAACATGGGAAGGAGCTGCAGGAGTCCAGGGAAGGGGAACATGGGAATGAGCTGCAGGAGTCCAGGGAAGGTGAAAATGGGAAGGAGCTGTAGGAGCCCAAAAAAGGGGAGTACAAGTTGGGAAGCACCACTACACACAAAGAGGGATTCTGTTTGCCTTCAAGGGTTGCCTGGCAACATGTCATCATGAAGCTCATGCCACAAGTAGTGGGTGGCTGGCCTGGTAAGGCTGAAAGCTGTATGTGTGCGTGTGTTTACAGAGCGAGAGGAGAAGCCGGGCAAGGTGACTCATCTCTTAAACAACACAGAGACAGACAGCAGAGGGCTGGCAGCCAGGCCCACAGGCCACATCCAGCAGCAGCTGAGTGCTTTGCTCACAAATATTTAACCACCATACAGTATGAAGCTCTAACAACTCTTCATAAGTAATTCAGGGCAGAATTACCACATTTGTGCCAAAATAAACATTAATTAAGATTAATGAATTTGTAGAAAACAATGGTATTATGCTTCAGAATATTCACACAAATACTGCAAAGTAATTTTAGGTTTTACAGCAACATTTACTGGTGCCTAATCTGAGACGCACCCACCCCAGCTCAGATTCAATGTAAAAAAAATTAATGCATCCAAAACCTAAAATGACGCATTTGATTTATACCGATGTATAATTTCTATGCTATTGCCATCTATTCTTCATTAGGTATCCCATGCAGAGCCAAACAGGACCACCTTTTTCCTCCAGAACACCTTCAAGGGTTGAAGAGTTGTACATTCAGATAAGTCCTTCTGCATATCACTACTATACTGAATTATTTCGTTATTTCTGAACTTCTGACCTTCCTGTTAGCTGAGCCTGGCCAATCTGATCTGACCGCTCTCATTAACAAGGTGTTATCAGCAACGCAACTGCCTCTGACTGGATGATTTTATTTATCACACCGCTCTCTATACACTCTAGAAACTGTAGTATGTAAAAATCCTCTTCCTGCTGGAATGGCCACGTCCAGAACCAACAATCATATTGTGTTTAAAACCACTTAGATCATACATACAAGCCCCCTTCAGAGCTTCGTC